AAAGCTAGATAAATATGGCGTACCTACTCTTTTTATGCATCATTTTTTAAAACTTTGGCTCTGTAGACCATTACAGGGGATTTTAAACCAATCAATCAATGTGTGACTGAAGTGCAGACTTTCAGCTCTAATTAAAGGGCTTTAACAAAAGTATTGTGTGACTGTTGCATTGAAATCTGCATTTAATTATGAGTCATTATTCATCTCTGGCTCTCTTCCATATGATATATTTTATCTTTTCTCCCTTCCCACATCCCAGATGGCTGCCCCTACCTGAGCCTGGTTCTGCTGGAGGTTTCTTTTTGTTAAAAATGAGTTTTTCTTCCCACTGTCACCAAAGTGCTTGCTCACAAGGGATTGTTTGATTGTTGGGGTTTCTCTGTATTATTGTCTCTTAACTTTACAATATTAAGCACCTTGAGGTGAATTTTGTTGTGATTTGGTGTTATATAAATAAAATTGAATTCAATTAAATAGAATTACAAAAAAAATAAAAAATAAAATAAATAAATAAAATAGAATTACAACCACTTTTATGCACAGTCATCAATATTCAAAGGCTCAAAAGGAACTTAACAAACGAACATAACATTGATTATTGACTGCTTTATGTCTAAAGCCCCTGAACATCACCAAATGCTGTGGTTCCTCCTTTGCTCTACATGTCACCTGCTACTTCTATCAGCAGTCACATCAGCAATAAACACTAGTGATGCACTTCAAGTGGGGAAAAGGCCTAACCTGACCGTGAAACTGCTTGACAGCCAATTGTCCAATTGGTTTTGAGCTTCTTAAAGTGTATAAAAATGGCTGCAAATCCTAACCAGTTACTCTGATACTTCTGGTAAAGCCCTAGAATTAAAGCTGAAAGCCTTCACTTCAATCACATTTTGATTGTTGGTTTAAAATCCAGTGTGGAGTTGCCAGTTAATGCAGAGGCCTGAGCTTGAATCTGCCTGGAGGCCATTTACTACATGTCTTTCCCTTGGTCTCTCTACCAGCTTTCCTATCACAAAATTGGTATCACTGTCTAAACACTTATGGACCTAAATGAACGTACTTAATGCACATAATGTGCTTTTTGTGTTGACAACCATAGTAAACATTATACTGTACATGCTTCACTTAGAGTAGGCCACTATGGAAGCTAAATTCAATTGTAATGGTATGGAGGCACACAATTTCTGGTAATGACACTGACACATTGTAACCCAATGCCACTGGGAAACCAAGTGATGGCACATCAACCACTGCTTGCATGCTTGCCTCTGTCATATTGTCTGACATTATTTAAAGGCAGTACGTTCCCCACGCCTCTTTATTTCCCTGTGCTACTCCCTTGATTGGCATCTGATCTGCTCTAATTACCAGCTGATGTTTAGTAAATCTGTGAGGCTCTTCATTGTTAGTGTAGGGATTAGATTCATCCTGTCTCGACACACTCTTTCAGTGAACACAAATATCATTTCTCCATCTCTGTATGCTTTCTCACATACCTTCTTGCCAAAGCATTCAGTCACAGTGTCCTTTGTTTCCACTCTGCACATCTGAAAATTAAAATCTAATTCTCTATAAATTTAGATTCTGCCATGTCACAAAGTAATTTTGTGCTTTCTGCTTGTAACCAACCTGTAATTCCTTATACGTGTGAGATTTCACCTTCGTATACAGTCTATAAACCTGCACATAAATTTCCTCTTGCATTGACTCAGGCAATCTCTATCCCTGCATCTGTTCTCGTCTGATACATTTTTAACTCTTTGCGCTCCTTCTGCTTTTTTCTTAGCACAAATTCAATAAAAACTGTACCTTCATAAATTTCTTATGAATAATGCATCACACAATATAACCCCACGGCTACTGACTACACACACTGAACATGCTGGTGCACGAGTGTGAGAAGAAAAGATTCCCGTGGTGTAGGTATTAAAGATGTTGTGGGGACCTACATCCATTTACTCACTTTCATTACGAGGATACGTCTTCCTTATGAGGACAATTATATAAGTCATTAATTCTCGGGGTAACATTTTTTCAAAGTTCTGGAGGCGACGGGGTTAAATGGGTGGCACTTATGCTTAAGGTTAGAGTAAGACTGTGAGCGTTTGTGTCCTGGAAGAACAGGACAGACAACCTTGACTCAGTGTTATCTCTGCAAAATGACTCAGAAGCTGAAGCAACAAAGAGGTCAAACAGTCACCATGTCAAAAGTCGCCTGATGGAGGAAAAAAAAAGGAAAAGAAAATTCAAAGGGTTACTTTATGCATGGTGTCATTATTCATGAATTTACATTTTCCTCCAGGTGCAGCCATTTCTTCCTTTTTTCCTAAAACTAATCGTGACTCAAGCTGTTTTCCTATTGTCTGTGCAGTATGCTGGTATAGGCTGGATTCAGCTGTAACTTCTCCTATATATCTTTTCAGATTAAAAAAAAAACAAAAAACAAAAAAACAAAAAACAAAAGAAAATGAAAATGAAAATGAAAACGAAAACGAAAACAAAACAACTGAATTGTCTGGATTGTCAAACTGCTATATGAAAGGAACATAAGCCTATGCTTGTAGCCTGTTTGCTGGTATTTCACTCTGCCTGGAAACCTGCTTCAACAGTAGTCTGCATCGTTTTTTTCCAGCTATGTAACTGAGTGATGTCCTTGAATTCAGACCATGGGTTTACTGACATCTCAAAAGAGATTTTTATGAATTATACTCACAGCATACATGTATTTTTTTCATATAGAAATGCACACACACACTTAAATATATATATATATATAAAACGGACACATTAATATAAAAAAAGTCCCTCCACCGCTAAGAGAAAGCAGTTATTACATTACATAAAAAAATATATTGAGCAACAGAGCACTGTATAGCAGACAAAGGAGTTTACTGCAATCCCTAGGTGTGTCTCACCATTAAATTTCTAAAGCAAATCAATCATGCATTTCAAACCTTTTGCCTGTTTGTTTCATTTGTAAAGGATGAGACGTGCTGATAGCTGCTAGGGCTTTTTTATGTCTTGCCAACAGAGAGAAATCACGCATCTTGCACGTGTAATATGCACAAGTCGATCATTTTCTTTTCTTTGTTTCTCAGCACACACTGCCCTCTGGGTACAAATAAAATACACAATGAGTAACTGTGTTTAAGATCATTTGACAGGTACATTTTGAATCTTTTTTTACAGAAATAAGGGTTTATTTTTCTTCCTAGATTTTATTTGCATTTCATTATTTTTCAGTTTAAATATAATTAGTGGCCTTATAGCGTTGTGGTTTACAAATGACAATTAAATTTTATTTACACAATGCTAAATGATTTATATCAAATATGTAAAAATTTTAAATAACATAGTGCTAAATCATAACAACCATAGTCAACAGCGATGGCGGCACAGATGAAAACGTTAGGAGCCACATCAACAAAGCAAGGCTGCATTCAACACCCTGCGACCCATCTGGAACTCCAAAGCCTTAACTCAGCGCAGCAAGATCTGCATCTTCAACAGCAATGTGAAAGCAGTCCTCCTGTATGGGTCCGAGATGTGGCGGGTGACCAACATCACTACCAGCAAGATACAGATTTTCATCAACAAGTGCTTGCGACACATCCTCAACATCAGATGGCCTGAGAAGATCTCAAACACAGACCTGTGGAAGAGAACCAGCCAGAACCCGGTCGGTCAAGACATCAAGAAGAGAAAATGGGGCTGGATAGGCCACACACTTCGAAAACCACTCGACAACATCGCAAGGCAAGCACTGGACTGGAACCCACAAGGGAAAAGGAAAGTGGGGAGACCCAAACAGACGTGGAGAAGATCTGTCGAGAGCGAAGTGAAGGCCGCCAGAATGACATGGACCCAGATGAAGAGAATGGCCATGAACAGAGTCCAATGGCGTGGTGTTGTTGCGGACCTATGCTCCACCAGGAGTCTACAGGAAAATTGAAATCATAACAACAGTCACCTCAAGGTGTTTTTTGTTACAGAGCAATCAGACAACCCCTTTATACAAGCACTTGGTGACAGCGGTGACAGCGGGAATGAAAAACTCCCTTTTAACAGGAAGAAACCTCCAACAGAACCAGGTTCAGGGAGGGTCAGCCATCTGCATAAAAAGCTTAAAAATCTGCCAAAGCAAACATACTGAGCTATTTGACTCCTTGTGAATATGGGAGGAGCTAAAAGTAGTTCTTATAGTTATTATTATATTTTATATTATATTATATTATATTATATTATATTATATTATGTTTTTATTTTATTCTTTAATGTTTAATTTCAATATTTGAATTTTATTTTTGCCTCAGTGTCTTGAATGGTACTTGTCAAATGCAAAGTTTAAGAACTTCTAATTATGTATAACAACACAAACACTGTGACACACTGTGTCAAGGCAAACTTCCTACAGTCATGTTGACATTCCTATCTCAGTAAACACATGCACCAGACTAAATTGTTGAAAAAAGGAGAGATGTCCCGTATATATATTTTTTTTAAATATTACATTTATTGTATTGTTAGACCTGACAAAGGTTCATTTAATTTTTAGCTAAAGTGTGGTTTTCATTTTTATTTCAGTGCACTACGAGTCACGTTTTCATAGTTTTCCTTCCATACGCTTTAAAGTAAGGGGGCTTTTTCAACATTACATTTGACACATACATAAGGAGTGTTTGAGCTCATATTATTTAATACACCTGGGGTAACTTAAATCCTCATGATCCACTTATGATGGATAGGTTTGGTGCTCAACAGTTGAGCCCCTTGAGCATATCTCAGTCCACTCTGTGCGTGTGAGATATCTTCTTGCAAGTCGTTAGTCCATCGGCCAGCAGAGCAGCATGACTTGCAGACTGTACGTCTCCGCTACCTGTGCTGCAGCGGATCATCATCAATCATAATATACCGTGGCCTTTGTTCCTGGTGGGTGTAACCCACAGACTGTAGCGTAGACTCTTGTCTGGGGAAGGGGTGTGCGGCGGTGGGAGGCGTGTGCACGTGTGGGCGGGTACGTATCGACGTCACCACTGGGTCCTTGCTGTCAACGCCAAAATAAAAACGAGTAAAAAAAACAAAAAACTTTTCAAGTAGACTCATGACAGCGGGGAATCGGGGAAAGCCTCTCTTCTCCGGGCTGTAATGGTTGTTCTGCCACGTTGTGGTGTAGCAGCGGAGGTTGTTTTTCTTCTTCCCTGAGCTCGCACGGGGAAAGCCTGCGGGCTGCCTCCGATTAGCAGACTTGCTAGCTAACGTCAAGTTGGAAGAAAGTGGAGAAGACACGGGGCGAACCGGGAGCTCATCCGCCTACACAGACGCATGCGACGGATAGCAGGTACGAGAGCTCACCCATCTCCTTCCACCACATCAGACACAGCGCAGACTAAAAGCCTTGCCGTCTTTATTTTACTCAGTTTAGGCAGTTCTCCCCCGCACATACCTTAGGACTGCAACAGCTCCCGTGTCCCTCTCTCCTCCTGCCGTGGCGGCAGAAACAACAGGACACGTAGCAGTCCACACAGTTTGAGCTTTCTTCTGGAGCAACTTTGCTCTCCTGAAATCAGTCCGCTGCGCTTTGGCGGCTTGTTACAATCCGCTCAAAACCTCCTGTCTTTGTGTTGTTTAATAAGCTGTGTTTCTCTCCCCCATTGTCAATGAGATTCCTATTTTTCGACACATTTTTTGCCATTCTCTTCAGCCGTCTGCAGTGCTTTTACGATGCATTTGCAACTACAACCCCCGCCAAACATAGTGGATTTATTTATGGGGGGTATTGCTGTTACATAGATCCATTTTTACTTTAAGCCGAACCCGCCAATCGCCGATGAGGTGGTGCGGGCTGCACAATAGTCCAAATCTAAGAAGAGGGGGTTTGCTAAATCTGGGCATTTCTTCCAGCTTCAAACGGCAGTAGCCACCAGTCATGTATCAGTATTCGTGTCATGATCCTGCATGCTTGCTTGCTTGCTTGCGGGGTTTGGTGTGATGAAGCTGGCCGAGGACTGAGCCTCCAACTCGGAGCGAGCCAGACCCATCCCTCTGCTGTAGCAATGCGGTAGACTGGGGGGGCCGGTTTAGATTTCCAAATGAAAAAGGAAGGGGGTGGGGGAAGAGTTGAAGCCCTATTATTTATATTTGGTCGATATGTCACAGGGTCACGGTTTGCTGACAGCAGCAGGATAGTCCAGCGGACCAAGGTCGGACGAGGATGGCAGAGCACTTCTCCCGTCCGACCTGTCAGCCGCAGTGAGGAGGCTCCGTGAGCTGCTCCTTCCCATGGGGCGCTATGAACCAGCCTGCCAGGTGAAGAATGCCAATGAATTATTCAGGCACATGCTGCATATGATCAGGGTTGCCCGGGAATGTGCGTAGCTGCTTCTGGGGACAATAAGAGCCCACCCCCCAAAAAAGAAAGAAGAATGGCCTGCCTCAGCTTCCCTGCTGAACATGCCAGATTTGAGAGAATGGGGCTTTGGAAAGCTGGAGTGGAGTTGCACTTCTTGCAGCGGCTTTGATTCTTGGTAAATGTGTTTATTTACTGCAGAGTGAAGTTTGTCCTACCGATGGGAGTTTGTGCAGAAGATTACTCCAGCGCTGTAATCATGGTAGACACTGAATTGATGCAGTGTTGCTCGTGGCACTTTGGCTTGAGGTGCTTTGGGTTTTTTCAGCAGGTTGTTCTTCCTTGGCTTTCACACAGCAGTGTATATGCACAGCACTGGACATTTTAATGTAGATGAAAAATGTTGGATACACACTTGGGTCAAATATGGGTCAAAGTGCTTAGGTTGCTTTGTAAACAGCATGACTGTACAGCAACTGCTGTGTCGGCCAGTCAAAAGTAGCCCTTTTCTTGCGCAATACTATTTTTCTGGAATCACGTGGCTTGCATAACATTCGTTCATCCCTTTATATTTTTTTAATTGAGAATGGTAAAAAGACAGTAAATGCATGCCATGTTTCCCACTGTGTTGCAGCCCCGCTTCTCTTGTTGAGGAGGCCAGTTGCTGTAGTTTGAAAAGTGAAAGGTTTTCGCTTCGTAGTTTGATATAGGATTTTAGCCACTCTATGGGCTTCCTTATTTTTATTTTATTGTTGCAGAATAATCTGAATGAATTGACTGCAGGCAGTTAAGCACCTGTAGGAGTGTGTGCGTATCCTTGCTGAAACAAGCAAGGCTTTCCCTGACACAGACTTAATAGCAGTGTATGATGCTACAAATAAATACATAAATAAGTATTTCCACTAATCCACACTTAGTGGGTTTTAAACTTTTTGCTAATAACAAGCTGCACAGTTCCTCTCCTCTGTAGCCCTGAGGATTCTGTGTCCAGAATTTCCTAATGAATTCAAGAGTTTCCACTTTGCTTCACTCGATCCTCAATGAGGCTTGGCCCAGAGGAGGCAGCAACGCTTCTGGATCTTGTTCGAGTTTTAACTTACGTGTGTGGATGTGATGCTGAGCTGTGTCCACTGACACAGGTTTTCAGAGTGTTTCTGAGTCCACATAGTGAGCCATTCAGTCCTGCATTACAGCCATTTAGTGCTGCTTTTCAGGCTTGTCCCTTGACTTCACAGGCTTATGTTAATCTTTTAGTACTATTGCGTAGTAAATGATCAAATCCTCCAGTTGGGGTTGGGCTGTGTCCACATGCACATGATATACACCTTTGAATTTACAAGACCAAATCTGTTTGCCTTGTCCAGGTGTATATGGAGAAACTGAGTTTCTTAAAATCCTTACATTGGAAGGATTTTTGTTTTAAAGATCAGTCACATAAAACACTGTTTATGTGTAAAGAAATGGCAAAAATACATAGAAAGGGCTATGTTTACCAAAAGACTTACTTATGTACATGTGGACAGGCCCTTAAATCCTTGAACTGATTAACCGCAAAGGCCTTCACAGAGTAGTGACGCTTTTCCGGTCTTCTGAAAAACTCAGTCCATTTGGGATGCTCTTTTTAAGCTCAGCTATCTTACTAGTTAGACTAATTAGCAGTGAGATTTTCCACCAAGTCTTCTTTACATTTTTTTTTTTTTGCTGGCAAATATCCCAATGTTCATGAAAGAACCGCTATCTGATATTTTTATTTTTTTAAGTACATTTGATCAGTTTTAACATTAGATATTACGTGTTTGTTGCAATTTTAAAGTCAAATATAACATTAAAAAATTCCAAATATAAACAATGTCAACTCTAAGAATTTAAACTTCTCTACTTTTTACTCAGAGTCACAGTTTTTTGGGAAACAGGGTTGTATCAGGACAGAGTCCAGATCAGTGCTGACACAGTATGTAGTGATAACTGATAACAGGTCATTATGTGAATGCACTTCAGTACCCTCTGTTCCCTGTGAACTTTGGGTCTTTTTTGACCTCCTTTTTAAAAATTGTTTGTTTAAACATGGACAATTTGGCTGTAATTGTGGTTGTGATCTGTTGAAGGGGGAAGCTGAGAAATGCAAGTAATTTTTGCTTGCAGGAAACAAATAACAGGAACGGCAACACTCACAAGCTGATAAGTGTCGAGACTTGTAGTGCGAAGTCCTCTTAGGGAAGTGGAACTTCTTTAAATGCTATCTGTTTTTTCAACTTAGGGAAGTTCTCAGAAAAATGTCTGAACTTCTTGTTCTTGTTTAACGTAACAACCAATAGGACTACAGTCTGAGCTTGTATGAACTGATGAAAATCTATAAGGACTCAAGGACTCATTAAAAAAAAGTCTTTTTGATTCAGTGGTTTTAGTGAGCGTGGTGCTGTTCCCTCGCTGATTACCTGCGGTTTGAAAAGACTGGTTTCTGGTGCAATGACGTGAGTCAAAGTAAATAAATCTCATAAGCTACTCAAATATAGTCTGTTCACAGTGTATGTTTACAATCGGTAGTTTGCGTAGCATTCCCTGGAACGGTTTCCTTTTAGTTCAAATTGGCTTTATCATTTTAAGATAAACTGTCAGCAACATGGAAGCGAGGCAGAATGGCAAAGATTGAGTTAAAAAAAGAGGTTTAAGCCTAAACAAAGCTGTAACAACAAGCATTGTTTTAAGTAAAATACCGCCTGAAATTCTTTATGCAATCCCATGAGCTGAACTTGTTGCTTCATCTTGAAAATCCTCTTTCGCTCAGGCTTTGTTTTCTTCTCAGGGATTTTTTTGGTGTGTCCTAAACAACTCTCTGTAATCCCCTTGCAAAATGTGCATAATAACACAGAGCCTTTTTTCAGTTCTAAATGCTTAGCATCACGTATTCACACCCAGTAACTTCTTTTCTGTTTCTGCCACTCTGTTATCCTTAAAAGCTTTTTACCCCACCCTTTCCCACCGTGCCCTTCTTGGCTAAAGCGCTCATGTCACTTGCATTAGACGGCTCATGTCTTCAGCTTCTATTTCTTCCGTCTGTCTCTTTCCCTTTCCTCCTCTTCTTTGTGCGCCGGCTGAACCACAGTTTCCCTCCGTTCTCACTGCCACCTCAGTTTCTCTTCTGGCACTGCCCAGAATGACTGACAGACATCGATTGAACCTGTCCATGTGTATCACTCTCTGTGCATCCCCACCCCCTCCTCCCCCCTCCTCTGCTCCCCATTGTGTTTAGGTGAGTGATGGAGACGAGAGAGTTGACCGTGGTAGCTGGTAGCTTTGTGGGTTTCCAGCTTCTCTTCTCAGTGGCCAGCCCGCCGCTCTCCTCCGCCATTACCCCAGGTTATGGACGGCTGCCTCCCACCAAGCTCACTGAATGGAACTCCAGGTACGTCACAGGAAAACGCTGCTCGTCAACAGGCCTTTTCTGTACACCTGAGCTACCTTGTTTTTTTACAGCAGCGCTGTGCTGTAGTGCCATTGCTGGTAGTAATGCCGGCACATTTTAAGAGGAAAGGGAACCGATTATGTTGCATTACCAGCAGAATTGGATGTAATGCCTGTGGGAAGAAAATTATGGTGGACGATCATTGGTGAATTTTTTGCAGTAAAGACAGTAATTTCATCATTTGGGACTGTAAATTTCAGTGAATGTGAGTTAATTATTTATTTTTTATTTTTTGGTAGAAATGCATGGAATTGATTCTGGACTGAGCATCAGTACTTTGTTGGTGGAAATGGGGTATAGCCGGGGATTGCTTTCATTTTCCCCCCCTTTTAGGAGGTGATAAAACATTAAGAATGATCGATTAGGATAATAAATGTTGAAATATACTGTACAACAGTCCCTCCCCTCCCATTTCTTAATATTTTGAAGAAGCCTGATCTCCTAATTTTTAAAAGTAGTCTTGAGAAATACCTCTCCAGGTTTTCTGAAGGTCTCACAAATGTTTTTTAGGACATTTGTTGCTTTTTCACCATTTTCAGAGGAATGGTTTTTGTTTTTTGAGTTGCTTAACACAGACCTGTGAATCATTCAAGCATAGAAAAAGGTCATGTTGTTCCATGGTGAATCGACCCGAGTAGGTACTAATGGAAAAGGGGCTTAAGAGTCCACAGCTTTCTGTAAAACACGGTGGAGGCTCTGTCATGGTTGTGGCTGCAATCAGCCAGTGAAAACTGATTTATAATTGAATAAACAGTATCAGATTTTGATCCACCATGCAGTATCATCTGAAAAGCTTCTGATTGGGAACAGCTTCATTTTTCAACATGAAAATGATCCCAAACACAGTGCCAATACAGGAAAAGCATATCGGGCCCGAAAAAACACACATCAGTCAGGCATGGATCGGCCCCCCAGAACCCGGATTTTAACATTATTGAAGCAGGGTGGGATCATCTTGAAAGAAAACTGAAGAAAAGGCAGCCAACATCCAAAGAAGAGCTTTGAATGTCTTTTAAGAAGCCTGGAGAACTATTCCTGAAGACTATTTAAAGAAATTACATGACTGCTTTCCAAGAGACTTCAGGCTGTGCTGAAAAATAAAGGTGGTCAAACCAAATATTGACTTTTAAGCTTGTTAGTCTTTTTCTACCATTTGTTTTAGCTTGTTGATTGTATTTCCATGCATGTTTGTGCATATTTCAATAAATTGTAACACACACTTCCCTTATTCATAGCAAAATATAAAGTAATGATATTATTTTTATTTTTTTGTCATAAAATTGTACAAGTGAGATGCACTTCCTCAAAAAAAAAGTAGCCGCAAAATGTTATAAAGCCTTGACCAAGCTAACCTCTGTGCGGTTCTGTTGAGATGAACCTCGATGTGCCTCAGGCCAGCTCATTGTTCTGCACAACTACAGCTGTGATGTGAACGGCTGGTGGAGCACAGAGTGGTTTAAAGTTTCAAACTTAAACCTCAGGGGTGAGGTTCAGGGGGCAATGTTTTGTAGTTGCGTAACATCTTTCACTGTTTTTATTTTCTTCCTCCATCTGTTTTCTGTAATGTACTGCTCAGAGATTACACTTTCTTCATGCAGCTGTGGTTTACATTAGCCTGCTTCTACCTAACTGAAAGAATGGAGTGCACTGACCAAGGAATCCAAGACAAGTCAAAGGCAAAGCGCTGATGGCCCACTCTAGAGTGGTCTGCTGTTGTGTAACAGCCAGCTCTCAGTGTGTCAGTGTGCTGTTTATGTAACCACAACTTAAGTGCAGGGAGAGAAGGGAGAAAGCACTTCTAAGGAAAAGCAGTATGGTTGTGAGCAAAAAAGTGTGTCCTGTACTTTTATTTCATGTCTTTTCTGTTTTTCCTCATCCTCGTATTTATTATTGCACATCCTCAAATAGAGTGACTGCATCCAGAACTTTCTGTAACAGAAAATAACTCAGTGGCTAGTCATACTTTTAAGACTGGGCTTGTACAGCAGCCTGCCATCGAGCCAGTTTTGGCCAAGGCTCAGGCTGGCAGCTGCAGTCTGTGGATAGAGGCTGCATGGTGACACTGGAGGAATTGTGATTGTGGTAGAGAAGAGATAAGACCCACTGGACCTCTGGAGTATCTCTTCAGTGGCCCACATAACTACTCCAAAGGTCAAAGAAAGTAACTCACTTGAACACAGTGCATAAAATAAATGCAGCTATCATAGACTAAACGTAAAACTTGGGCATAGTCATCATGAACTCACCCAGTAGGTTCTAGTCTCTGCATTTTGAAGCCAAGTGTTAAATTTGGGAAACTACCATGCTGTTTTGTTTTTTAAAAATGATCATTTTGGGACCAGATATTGGAAATCCAAGAGTCCGTAAACTATATGCAATGCTACCCACAGATATCTCCTGATTGGTCCTAAGTAACAGACCAATGAAACAGCAGAATTTGACTTTTATTTGTTTTATTTGTTGTTGTTTTTTTGAGCTGTATGCAACAAAAAAAACAGCTGTTACATTAATAAGATATAGTTCTCTCACTTCAGTTATTTTTTGCTGAAAGATGAGATTATCAAAACATATCAACACTATCACTAAAATCAGCCTTCAGTCTGATAGTGAATGGGGTCAAGTTGGCAATTACATGCAATCTGTTTCTGATAATACAGCTAATCATCAAAAATCACGTATCTGTTTCTGTCTACATAGACAGAAATTCATATTTCACCATTACATTTGCACTCGGCAACCTTCCTGTTTTATAGGAACCAGCTGGCAGCCAGTTGAGCAGAGTCACCTAATTCAATTCAGTTTTATTACAATACACAACAACAGTTGCCTCAAGGTGCTTATATTATATATAACACGTAATAATATATAATAATATATATTACGTGTATATTGAGACCCACGTTATTTATTTATATATATATGTGTGTATATATGTATATGTGTATATGTATATATGTGTATGTGTATGTATATGTATATGTATATATATACATGTGTATATATGTATATTAATATTACGTGGGTCCTTATATAGAGATACTGACAAAGTTAAACTTTGAGAACATAATTTGCAGTTTAAAAAAAGGGGGATAAATCACAATATAAGTTATTGTAATTCTCAACAGATTTCAAAATGTCATGTGTTTATACCATATCATGGAGTGTCTGGTGATTGCCACCTCTAATTGGGATTGAGTCACTTTTGGAGCTAGCTCCACTTTTTTAGCTCTTTCAGCCCCATAGCTTGGTAAACCTGTACACTATGCATGTATGAACAGATGTGTAAAAAAGACTGATGATTGTTCCTGACTGTAAACCTATTAATCTGTTGTCACGTTCACTAATTTGCTCTTGTAATATGTGTGTGTGTCTCCCAGGTTAGTGTCCACAGTGCACGCGTTGATTGTGGGCTTGTTCTGTTTGTACATCCTGTGGTACGATGACGCAGTCAACGCCAACCCTGTCTGGTAAGAGGAACAGAAAGGAAACACTCATGCATAAAAAAAAAAAAAAATATCCATGAATGTCATGTCACGTGCACAAAGAAAGACAAGATTTGGAGCATGCAGCCATATGCTGTCCACATACTGTGCAACCATATAAACAAAAAATACTGAAGTACTGTTAAAGCTGTGGGTGCTTTTGGGAGAAACCTGTGTTCCCACATCTGCCTTTTCAGACTGGCAGCCGGAACTTTCTCACACGGGGAAAGGTGGAAACTGATGAAGGGATGAAGAGGGAGGTGGGGGTGAAATATCGTCGGGATTGGTAGTTAATACCTTTTGGCGCGACAGAGATGGCATTGCCTTTATGAGAACGAAAGAGGGAAGGCGAGAGGATGGATCTAACGTGTCAGTGGAGTCTCCAGAGAGTTGTTGATTTGGAGGATTTAGACTTTGATTTTTGTCTTCGCTGTCTTCTCTGCCTTCACTCTCCCCACCAGTGCTGACTCTGTTATTTGGATCAGTGAGTCCTGAAAAAGAGAAATGGCAATCTCTCGCTCACTCTCCCGCTCTCTCTCTCCCCCCATTTCTTTCTCCTTTCTAGTATCTCAATCAGTCTTTTGAACACATCTCTCCTCAGCTTTCGCTCTCATTTTTCTCACTTACAACACCACTTCCTTCCCCTCTCTCCTCTTTTTCCTTACCTTCACTTCCTCTCTGTCTGTCTAGCAGACTAGAAATCCCACCAACAAGATGCCTTTTCATAGCAAACAGCAGCAGCTAATCCCCCCCCCCCCCCCCCCCCCCCCCAAAGAAAAAACAAAAAAAACAACAAAACAAAACCCATTCTCCCTTTCCCTCGCACCACCAGCCCTCACGATCCTCCCCCTGCCTTGGGTTGCCGATTACACATGTCTAGCTGCCATATCAATGCAATGCTCTTTTATTCTGTTTCTCTGGCTAGCATCACTGATGGAGCAAAGAAAAGGGGAGAAAACAGCGGTGGGTAGGGGCACGGGCAGGAGGGATGAGCTCTCCCTCCCTCCTCCTGCTGCTAGTCTTCATCTGCTCAGTGTTCAAGTGCTTAATACCTTACCAGCATTTTTGGGGGGTTGCAGGCAGGATTTTTCTTCTATCACTTCTCTGAGACACCCCCCCTTGAGGAAAAGGTGACAGTCATTTGTCTGCTGAAATGGTTTCTTTGTTCCAACTTTATTTCTTCACTGCTATTGTTGAATTTCTTAAGCTTATTCCCGTCACCCACCGGCACCTAGCCGATTCCCAGAAGTATCCTAATGCCTTTTTAAAGCTCATCTCATTTCAACACCGGAGTGGAGCAAGCCTTAATTCTCCAGTCAATCTGATTGCGCTACAGCATCATTAAGGCCTGTCACACAGCAGCATTGTTCTCTCGGCGCTGTGCTAAATGGTGGCGCAGCGGTCAGAGCCAAACTGTTAGAAGCCTGCTTTGTTTGCAGCTGCTGCTCGGGCTCTTTCAGGTTGTCACTCCGACTGTCAGCACAGCTTCGGCTGTTATCATAATCCTTTCGGTTAACAAGCGCCGTGTCTGCCGGCCTCGCCCCTGCTGCATTTCTTGATTGGCTTATCTGGACTTGAACTTAACATGTGCATGACAGTCTGAGGAGAATGGAGGACCGCATTTCAGTTCAATTTAGGACAACCTGAGATATATTTTTGACACTAAAGGAAAATAAGCAACAACAAAAAAACAAGATAAGGTGAAAGTGCATTTTATCAAATCTCATTTAATAAATAAAAAATGATATCTAGTCCTTTATAAGTCTTCAGATTAGGAGAGTATAAAGTCAGACAGACAGATTATCTCATTGTTTGTTTAACAAAACTAAGCTAAAATGCAGATGCAGTAAGAAAGTAAGTAAGAAAAATAAGTACTCCCTATGAGTCACCAACTTGTAGAACCACCTTTAGCACCAGTAACTTAAAGCAATTGTTTTCTATAGGATTGTATGAGTCGCTCACATTGTGGTTGAAGGGTGTGCTTTCTTTTTACCATGACTCTTTGTTCTCGTGTTGCTTTTCCAGGATGTTTAGTTCAAGTCTTTCTGGTGAGATTTAGAAAACTCGGGCACTAATAGTTATCAGCTTGATAAGTCAAACCAGTTTATTCACAGCGCTGTAAAAGAGGTGGTGTTGGCAGCATATGGGCAGGTCTACTGGCAGGCAGCAGACTGGCATATTGTACAAACAACAACCAAGCTATAATATTAGAAAACTGCAAAGAGGTTAATCACATAATACATGCTCCGCAGCAACACAGTTTTTGCAGCCAAAGCATCAGAGTGTGAGTGTGTATCTTCTGCTATAAAAAACTGCTATATTCATTCATTCATTCATACAGTTTAAAGCACTTTAGGCCATCGGGAAGCCTGGAAAGGCATTAGTGGCTGTAAATGCAATCTTATTTGTATCACTGCTCCATTATTAAGATACAGGATTAGAAAAGGGTGTTCCATTAAACTAATGTTTTGCTTCAATGTATTCTCATGGTATTTAAATAGGTTTTAGCCTTCTTTCAACTGCTGTCCCAATGTTGTTTACACAAGTAAACACCCTTAAATACATAAAACAAAAAAACAAACAGAATTTAGACTATTAAACAGGCTGACTTGCATATTTTAGAAGCAGCAAAGAAAGGTCCCTGTATTGAGAAGACAGAGGGTTTAGGTGCTGGCTAATAACTCAAATCCCTCATGTGATCTTGCAGGAATGATTATGTCATTTGACGGTGAACTGATTGGTCAGTAGGTAATTGTTATGTGCATGTTGATGTCTTATCTCATGCACAACCTGCCTGGGAACAGGTTAGGTCTGCCACAGAAGTTACCACAGCGATTTAAGCAGATAAGACGAGAACTGCATTTGTAACACTGAAAATCCAGAGGTAAACCTGAATTCACCGTACCTAGCAAGGCCCCAAAACCTAATTTATAACACCAGTGTCTTTCCTGAGGAGGGTCAGCATGTCATCATCAGCATCCGGCCCCATTTGTTTGCAAGTTTTATTCAAAGAAATGCAACCCTGCAGCGAAAGGATGCTGTTGCTGTTAAGAATCAATAGAGGTGATGAAAAGAGAGGTCCATCAACTGTTTTTGTCATCCACCTGTATCCCAGCAGTCCTTTCTTTTCTATGGTTTTGGTAAATTTTTTCTTTCTCCAAACTTCATTCAAGTGTGTTTTATTGTTGCAGTTAAAATGCTTTATTCCTTAGATTTCCCTTAAGGATCTGCATGCACAACACTAAATGCAAATATCTGAATGAAGAGTCAAACTATCGATAAAGCAAGCAAGTAGAAAGCTAATCAAATTCATATAAGATGTCAGTGTTACCAACATTATCCTCCTCATCTTCATTATAAGAGAACTGGAGTTGAGTTTGTTTGCCTCCTAGTTGTCACAGGTTGAATAAAAGTCCTTGAGAATCAATTAATAACCAATAAATTATATTTCTTTCTTTTGATCATACTGGAATTAATATTTAAATCAAAAATTGACATTGAATGGGACTTCCAGTATCAATCTCATCAGGTGGAAATGAAAAGCGCTTTCATACATCATAGTTTCACCAATGTGCTGCTATTCGTTTCCCATTCTTGAACGTCAAAACTTTTCAAACCTGTTTCCCTGAATCTAAACCGTAACCTGTTGAAACACAGCCAGCTAGTTTGTGATTTATCTGTAGATCTAAGTTGTTGATAACTCTGGAATGACTTAATGAATTGTTGCAGACTGAGACTAACAAAAAGTCTAAGATGCACTGAAAGTCAGACCCTTCTATTCCCATGCTGTCATTTGTCACCACAGCTCCAGATCAGCTGCTGGTGAACATAACTCATAGCCCAAGCATTTCACCACACTTCCCCCACTTAAGTCTGTGTGATTTTTGGCCATCTGAGACGAAAGTTGTCAGAGTTAAAAAGCGGAACAGTCAATGATTTAGAAGAGAGGCAGTCAAGGGTATGCAGCTGTCACAGAGATAAATGATACAGAGTACAGTACAGACGCTACAGGTAATTCTATACTTTGATGTGCCAGTGAGGATGTTCTGCTGAGCAAAGACAAACTCTGAGAGAGAGTTAGGTTTTTTTCTTCAAGCTGCGTTCAGTAAGAATATAGAGAGTTTATTTAAGTTTCCTTTGCGCTTTTCTTTGAACCACATATTAGCTCAAGGTTCATTCTGATTACTACGTATCTGTAGCCCCATGGAAAAAGCCTAGCAAACTGCTAAGTGCTCTTAAATGAGTTCTACTTGCCACTTAACAGCATATCATTTGGCTTTGAGTGTCTTTTGTATAATGCCTGTTGAGTCGGCGCTATTGTAGTACTTCCTGTTTAAAATTCTACGTATCTTTCTGGGCCAAATTCCAGTCAGTGAACCATTCATGAAGAGAGAATGTGAATATACTGTAGATCTGATTAATCAAAGTTGAGTCACACTGATGAGATTACCAAGAAGTATGTGGATTTTCAGGCTCCCTGACAATCATCAGGCATGATGGGCATTAGCCAACCTGATGTTTGCACGTTGCATTTCTGTCCGAGTGTGAAGAACACTTTTTTTTTTTGTCTTTTCTTGGTTATATTGGTATACTTGGTTATATCTCCAGATGTTCAATGCACTTAGTTAAAGTACTTATTTTAAAGTGAAGCAGTCGAAGCTTGGAGATAAAGAATACATTTTGAAAGCAGTGAGCCCAGGGTCATGTTGTTGGTGTGGGTACAGTGTATAGTAGAGCATGTGCGCTGTGCTGCGAGCTCCTGTTACACAAGCAGTCAGCCAGTCATTTGCTATGCGATACTTGTGGCTGATACAAGGATCGGATCTCTATTGAAGCAGACATACCTCCATTGTTATTTTAAACCGATGTTATTTGCAAGGACACTTTAATGGTAAGAGCAGCAGGTCACAGGTTTATGGCCCGAACTACTGATTGCTGATTGAACAGAAATTCTGTCAAACGGGAGGAGAGGAACACAGAGTGCCAGCATTGTGGATATCTTTTCTGCAGAGCTATCTGTCATGTTATGGATTCACCACAAGCATTGCTCTTGTCAAGGCAGTCGTCTTTATACCGCACACAACAGTATCACAGCAAATTCATCAAGGTTAGACAGTCAAACTTAAATGACCTTTCAGTTTTAATCTGCTAAGAAATGCAAGAGGTGCAGTATTGCAGACTGTCGATCAGGGAAGCAAGACAACTTAACATATTTAACTCGTAAACTGAAGCTTCTTCTTCACGGTTTTTTTTTCTTACTTTCTTTTTTTTAAAATCAGGATCAGAAACTTTATTAATCCCTAAGGAAATTATGTAGTTACTGTTTCTCCAAGACACTGTAACAGACTGAGCTAAATTTTAATAATACAATATATTACAAATTTACAAAATATTAAAATGTCTCTAATATACAGGTAGTTTAATTATAAGTTATTTTGACTATACAGGATGTGCAAAACGGTGCAACTATCGCACTGTGTGCTGTGCATTGGGTGGAGGAGTTGTACAGGCAGATATCCACAGCCAGCAATGATTTCGTGTGTTGTTCAGTGGTACATTTGGGTAATCTCAGTAATCTCAGTCTCTCACTGATTGAGATTGAGCATTATGGCTTTGTGCCTTTACACTGTATCCTTTGCTTTTCCACAGGGGTGACCCCAGTCTCGTCAAACTAAATGTAGCCATAACCTGTGGTTACCTCCTATATGGTGAGGTTTTATTTTTTCTTCTGTCTTTGTTTTGTTTTTTTGCATATGTGGCTGCCATTACCCTTCATGTGTGTGTGCAAGTAGAGCTTTGTATTGTAATCAAGTTACTGTAGAGTTGGATAGTTTTAATTAAATGTATATTTAATGCTATGAAGGGCACCTGTGATACATGAATGCATAGGAGCATCGAAAAAGGACAAAATATTTGACATGTCAGACTTGGAAGAAAGTCATTATTTTGTCTTATCATGTGTCCTTGAATTGGAATTTAAAACACTTCCAATGTTTCCTTCAGAATTCAAACCAAAGGGAGACGCACCTACACTTTCTTTTAATAAAAAAGAAAAACCCTGTACATTAAATGAAAGAATAGTCAGGAGTCCTTCATTCCCTGGTTGGTGCACTCCAGGTCATTTGTGAACTTGCAACGTTAGTTTTTGTTCTCCTCTGCAGCCTTGGAGAGCTCAGCATTGACATTTTGTAGGTTCTTTAATTTACAATATAAAGTGCCTCGAGGCGATTGTTGTGATTTAGCGCTATATAAATTAAAAATTCTAACTTGCATAGAATCTGCAGAACAGGACAAAAACTATTATGAAGTTAATAATAATAATGGTAACTTTATTTTTATAGCACTTTTTAAAATGCTTCAGTTTGAATAAAATAACACAAAAGATAAGCGCATGTCTAAAACATACAAGCGCATACTTCCATACATTCAAAGAACAAAGAACATGGGCTGAAGAAGAAGAAAAACTTCTCCTAAAGAAGGTTTAGGAGTTTTTGCCTCTGGTTTTAAAATAGATGTGGAAGTGTGAAACAGTTAGGAGACATTGATCAGTGATTGCAGGCTGAGTGCTCGAATAAGGTCTTAGCAGGTCTGCTAGAAAGGCAGAACCCGGCCATGTAGGGTTTTATATGTAAAAAAGGAAGAATGAATTTGAGAATATGAGATTACAAATTCAAATATTGGTAAAATACGGTTCTTAACAGGTGACTTGATATTGCTGGATAGCTGGACAATGTAATGACTGATCTTAGAGAAGCTGTAAGAGCCAAACACAAGAACCTCAGTTTTGCCAGTATTGAGATGGCAGAAATTTAAAGACATCCAACAAATAACAGCAGTGAAGCATTCCCCGAGATAGGAGAGGCTCTTCAGGTTGTTTGACTTAACAGAAAAATGTATCATCAGCATAGCAGCGGTCGGAAATCCCTGTTAGAAGCTGTTTAATAGATAACCCAGGAGTAACATATATACAGAAAACAGAACTGGACCCAGGATTGAGCTCTGTGGAACCCCTCATATGAGGGGCTCTGATAAGGACATACAGTTAATATGAATTCTGGAGTATCTGTCAGATAAGTATGATGAATGAATAAGAATGGGATTATCAGTGGTGTCAAAGGCTGCTATTACATACAATTCCACATTTTAGGAAATGTAACGAAGATCTGTCGTGGAGAAAACTTAGATAACAGAACTCCATGACACAACTGAGCAGGTTGATAGGAACTAGGGTTTAATTGTGACCTGATATAATTGATCTTAACAGACAACAGAAGAGGAAAAAAAATGTTTTTCACATTCAGCCGAGGGCTGGGCAGGAAAACCAGACTGAGCGGGATTAAGGAGTCTGTTCGTGGTGTTAAACAAGAACCTTGGACTGTTTTTCATGCTAATTAAGCCAAAGAAGTAGACTGGTTAGTAACTGGTTCCTTCATGAAAAGGCAGTGATTTGTATTTTTCTATCTCAGCTTTTCTGCTTCTCTGTTTATTACAAATATAATTGACACTTCGTAAGACAGTTAAAAATATAGCCACTGTGTTCTCATTAAAGATCCTAGGCTTTATGATTCTCCTCTTTGAAAACGATACTGGCTGCAAAACTGTGGCAAAAAATATTACACTTATGGTGAAACAGTAAATATGACATACAGAGAGAGTCTAAAGATGAGCCAAGAGTAAAACAACCAACCAGGATGTGCCCACCATTGTGTGCGACCATTAACATGTTACACTAAATGAAATGCCTTGTGTAAAATTCAGTTAGAGGAATCAATGCGCAAGTTAAGGTCGCATACCAAAATGAGCTTGTCAAATTTAACAATAGATGAAGGTCGATTGGGGAACTCATTTAGGGAAGTTGGTAGCAGATTTAGGAGGTCAGTAGATAATAATATAGCAAACTAGATTTTCACAGTCAATTTTGAACAATAGTAATTTGAATGAATGAAAAGAAGTGGGAGGAAATGGAACACAATTCAAATTACCCTTGTAAACCACAGCGATTACCCCACCACAGCCTGAGTGCCTCAGGGCATTCAAGAATTTGTAGTTTAGTCAGCAAAATTCCACAAGGGGGCAGTAGTCCTCTAGTTTGAGCCAATTCTCAGTACAGAAGATGGTAATAAACCATTAATAATAAATGATTCATTAGTAAAAGTTCAATCGTTTCAAAAGAGCAATAACTGCTGACTCGGGAGGCTGGGCTTTGTCAGGCACGGTAATTAGACTGTTAGGCCTGGTTGCAGAAATTTGTGATGACTAATGAATGGTTTCCATCTGCGCCTTTATAATTACAGGGATTGATAAAACTGTGGCATCAGTCGAATATGAGATTGGGGAATTAGCAGGGGAATCTGTGGAATGATGCAGCCAAATAATGGCCACATGAGTGGGTTGGTCATCGTGATGGTAGGGAAATGTCCAGAGCAAGCTCATTATCAGCGACTAAACATTTGAAAATACTATGAAAGGAAATTGTCCACTAGTATACCAATTTGATTGTTCTCTCAAAAGAATGAGAAATAAAAACATATTTCATGGACTTTTTGCTTAAGTCCATGAAAATGCTGCATGAGTGCTGTTGAAAATGGATGACCATAAATAACTCCTTCAGTTTCTTCTGCAAATTTGTGTTCTTTGTTCTTTTGTTCTTGCTCTCCTTATCTGCAGTTGCTGTTTTATGACTTGATTATAGTTATGAATGTATTGTCAGCTCTATTGTCAGTTTTAATTCATCTGTTGACGAACTGATCACAAAGTGATTATGTCAAAGTCATTTTTAGAGTCAAAGTCCTGAGTATTCTGTGTTCGTGTTAGACTCAGTTCAGCCTGGGCTTTGTTCTTTTCTTCTAAAGTCAGCTGTGTAATGTTTTGCTAGCTTAATGACCAATGTCTCCACCTGCTCTCTAGACCTGGTGCTGCTAGCGTGTAATTGGAGCACTATGGGGGACAGCTTTTTCGTTTGCCACCACTTGGCGGCGCTCTATGCTTACGGATATGTTTTGGTGAGTGGCTCATTTTTCTGAAACCGGATTCTTGTTGTTTTTTTGTCCTTCTGCTTCCTAAATTCCTCATCATCTGTGTTGTTTGCTCTTCGCAGACCCGTGGTGTCCTTCCCTACTTTGCCAATTTCCGTCTCATTTCTGAGCTATCCACACCATTTGTGAACCAAAGGTGAGTCATCCTCACTTGTGAATATGTACTTGTCAGGATCCCCTTCACACCATATGGCAGACATATCTTGTTCCCTGACATTTCCTAATGGCTCTTTCTCCTCCAGGTGGTTCTTCGAGGCATTAAAGTACCCACGCTCACACCGGTTGGTGGTATTGAATGGGGTTGCTATGGCTGTGGTGTTCTTCCTGGTGCGCATTGCAGTCATGCCATCCTACTGGGCCAGTGTATTCGCCACTTTTGGCACTCCGGAGTTTGAGCGGCTGGGCTTCGGTGCCCAGGTGGCATGGATCACCTCCTGCATTGCCCTGGATGTCTTGAACATTATTTGGATGTACAAAATCACTCGGGGCTGCTACAAGGTCCTGACTGGGAGAGGAGGGCGAAAGGTCAAGGTAGAAGCAGAGGCATCATCTTCCTTAGATAAGAAGCACACAAACAACCATACAGACTGAGGAGGTGTAGAGCACAGCATTTGTAGACACAGACAATAAGCATGGAGGGAGGCTGGACAACCAGGAACCTCGCTCTTTTAATAAAGCCTCAGCTTCCCTCTCACCCTCAATCTCAGCCCCTGATCTTCTTGAAGTCAGCTAGTGGCCTGGGCTAAGAGTCCTCAGGTTCTCACCCTGGCACAGGACAAGCACCAGCGTTTGCAACTTTTTTCACTGACAGATTAGTATCCTGCTGGGTGATAGCTTTCAGACGACAAGGTAGAGCTCAAAAGCACACTTTTAACTCTGTCTGTTACTCCTGTCACTACCACCAATCCTCTGTCATCTCCCCCACAGCCTGCTCTCACACTCAACTTCAGCCAAAGCCCAATCCTCTGAAGTGCCTGTGGGAGGGGGCGTGAGGGGAAGGGAAAAAAACAGGAAAGCAATAACAGTAGAGGAGTATATCGCCCATTACATTACTGCTTAGCCCCCTTCAAAAACAACAAAAAAACCAATCGCACTCACTTTTGCTCCTGAACAACTCGAGGCTTCTTCATCATTCTCCGTCCACACTCGTGGCCTGCAGAGTGACTAATTCACCCGTCAGACCCGTACAGTGTTTGTGAATCTATAGGGCTCTTGTCTTAAACTCATCAAACCTCACAAAAAAAGAGACAGGAAAAAAAACACCATGAATGCCTCTTCTACAGTATCACCTGCTGTGGCCTCCTCGTAACAAGTGGCACCTACCTGTATCACCAGCCATGCCCCTCCAGCCTCGTTATCATTTGGAGTTTCTATGTAAAACACAGAATATGCATGCAGGAGAGACAGAGACTCACTCTCTTACACCTTTCGCTCCTAACAGGACAGTTTTGCCTTTTCAGTATTCTTCATGATGGCTCTTTTTTTTTTTTTTAATTTAACACTTGTCATTAGCAATGAAAGAAATATCATTTCCATTGCAACCCTCTGCCTCACTGGGTAGGGCTCCATGATTGAGCTCCAGCATTTTCGTTCTACCTCTCCCCCTGCCTTACAAAAGAGTCTTCGATCCCGTCCTCATGAATTAATCAGCTGTTTATTTTTTTCCCTGTTAAAAAAGGAAAAAAAATGTTTTTATCTTTCAAGACTTCATCTATCTCAACATTACTGGCTCAGAGCGACTTCTCCCTCTGTCTTCAGAGCTTATCCCAGCCAGTGCAGTACAGCAAAGCAGCTTCGCTTCGTGTTGTTTATTGTTTGTTTGTTTGTTTGTTTTTCTAGTTAGACCCCCCCCCCTGCTTATCCACCCTGTTTTCAGTGACTCTAATAGTGGAAAGCAGTCAGAAGACTCACCCACATTTACTTGTTTGCACATGCACTGCATAGCGTGCAATCTTACACACTGTATTCAGTGCCCTTTTTTTAAACACCATGGTGGTGCTTGTCCTTTTTGCAGAATCTGAGCAATAGGAATGGTAGCAATATGCCATTTTGTTATTTACATTAGTTTTTTCAAAAATGTCAGGCAGATAAGAACATGAATTTCGATGGACCGGTCTGCGACAACAGAAAGCAACGTGGCAATTTGCATGATTTACTTTACTGTATAAAATGTATCGTCACGATAGAGCATGGTACGATTGACATATTTCTGTGACGCCTTAGTGAATAGGGTAAATAGATGACTAACATCTAAATATTAAATGCATTAATCTAATGCTAAAGGGGTTGGGTGGGGCTGGGCTAGGTATCTATACCACCAAAATGTGTTGTCCTGTCAGAGCATACTCAAAGCATGTACTACTTGTATTTTTTGATTGTTTCCCCTCAACCTGCATGTCTGTACAGTGTATACGCATACAGTAGGTAAGTTGTGCGTACTGTATGGCTAAGATGTTACCACACTTTCCGTAGGCCAGTTGGCATTACTCAGATTTACAGACTTCAGTTCTTACAGATTCATCAGTTCTTCTGTCAGCAAATTCTTAACAGCTGATTTCATGACAGACAGAAACACAGCAGATGTTTCAGGGTTTTTTTGCTATCAAATCTTGAAATAACAGGTTGCAGGTTTGTACATATCCCTAAAAATCTGCAAGAAAATCTAATTTAATAAATTTTTCCATCCTTGCACAACTTAAACTAAACATTAATTATATAGCGTTTAAATAAAACCTTTTTTCTTTTAGCCTCAGCCCCCCCCCTCCTCCCAGCAAACGCTACCTGCACAGACACACACACACTATGAAGTGTTAAACTGGTGGATTTCTCCTTCGAGTCTTTGTCTCGTTGGATCAGTGTTTAAAATAGTCTGAGAATCTCTGCTGCTGTTTTCACTGTGGAAATATAAAGCACATTCCCCGTGGGGCTGTGACTCTCCTGTATTTCTGTCTGTCACCACTAAGGAGGGGCTACAGTATCTTGTGCCTTTTTAGACAAACGGTGGATGTGATGCAGTCAGATTTGAATTAGCATGAACTTTCTAATGTAATATTCAGTGATTATTTCCTCTATATTCCTTATGTATACTCTGTGTGTATATATATTTTTATAACCTGCCTGCACAGTGATTAATCCGGCCAAGTATTATAATCCCAAAGCTGATCCCAGCAGGGGAGCCCGTTTTCTGGGCAGGGTATATATCTGAATGTTGCGAGAGGTTATTTAGTGGCATTGAAATGATCTTGCAGATGTCGAAAATGAAGTTATTTTTGTTTTGTTTTTTTTTAAACACAAGTTCTTTAAGCTGTACATGTAGTGGACGGGAAGGCTAGTGTCTCATTTCTCCAGCCTCCTGAAATCAAAGCTGTGAATATTCAGTCTGAACTACCGAGCACGGGAGACTTTACTGAGACTCGGCCGAGCAGTGATGCTGGTACGCTTCTTGTTGTAGCGTATTGCTCTTTTTGGATGAGTTTAGACTGAGACTGCTCTCTGGCACATGTCTCATGCACAATGTAAAAAGGACACAGTTGGGATGTTTGTTGTGTAGCTCTTTTGCGAACTGGACAAATAGAGTTTTTGTACCTGTCAGGGTTTTTCTACAGAATATATTTCAAGATCTCTGTCGCACACTTTGGGGCTTTTTGGAAAGAGACAGTGAGTGGAATGATATAAGGCTGTGATCTGTATTCTGTACTAATTATTTTATTTGTTTACAACAGCCAGATTGCCACTATTTGTTATGGCATTTCATAAAGAGAAATTGCTTAGCTATATGTATATATATCAAAAAGTTAGCAAAAATCATCCTGTGATCAACCTCTGATATATTTGGAACAAAATTGCAAGTTTGGATTTGAACCTCCACCAGTTTGCCTGGAATGCGGTTAGGTTGTTCTTCCACATGCTCAACAAGCATATGTTGAAATGAAATACGCTTTGGCCTTACAGCTGAGCTTTTCTGTTGAGGTCTCAAAATAGACAGAAATTTAGACAAAAAGAATGCTGATATTAAATGGTTTGCTTCTGAGCTGGTGGAAGTTGTATGCTATACTTCAGTTTCTCTCAAGGGTATTCACGGTACAAGACGAAACATTCTTTCCTTTAGTTTTGTCGTTCTTTGTTTTCTGGTTGTACAATGAAATGTAATCGGCTGAATCTGGAAGATTTCTATAATGATAAAGTTCAGTGATGATCAAGTCTTTTCTTTTTTTTTTCCCTTTTTCTCCTGTGAATGATTTGCCAGTGTGGCTTCTCCTTTTACATCCTCTGTCTGTTTTTGTGTTTTAATGCAATGATCTTGTTATGTTTTCTGGAGATTTTAATGTGAAACAGCCTACACTACACACACACGGAGACGCACGCAGCCTTCGGGGTCCTCGTCCGAGCATTACCTTGTGACTCAGGCTGTTGTTGTCTACAATGACCACTACTAATCATCACATAATTGTAGTGCTGAAAGCTGAGACTTACTTGAAGTGTTTTTTTTTTTCTTCAATAAAGTTGAAAACATAGAAAACCAGTATGTTGGAGTTTTATTTTGACTCTAAATTTCTATTTTCATTATGCAAACTTTTATAATATGGCGAGTGGCTACAGGTACAACTCCCCTCTAATTCAATGGCGCTTCAGTGTAATTTAATTACAATGTAATTATACTGTATATACTTAAACCTGTGTACACTAGAATAAAGTAGTAGCAATCAGGGTTTTTTTTTATTATACTTTACTTAAATTTACTTTAGTTTGTGTTTGAACAGGAAACAAAAGTAAGTTGGACTTACATTTATATTAGTAAAATAAAAGGACAATTGAATAATAGAACACCCATCATGTACATCAGTATAATGAAGATTATTCCACTCCATAATATGACCCGCACCCAACAAATACGGTGCATTTAACATGTAAGATGGAGAAATACTGTTTGTTTTTCTGCAAAATTACCATGAAATTGCACAGTAAAACATACTTATACATTTGTTACCCCATTATTCTAGTCCACTGACTTTTCAGTATTTATAGGTAAATATATTTAGATTGTAATTTCAAATACAATACACTGAAGTTCCATTTAGTTACACTTTTAGTGACAGGATGTATTATAAAGTGTTATCAAAAACACTGACGTCAGCATGACCTGTTGTTTGTGGTGTAACCTGTCCAGTCATTTGTCAGCAGTCAGTAGTATGACAGTTCTACTTAGGCAAGCCAAAACTAACTACTGGTAGCTGGCACCACTGCTCTGTTTTCTTTTAAAAAGTGTTTGTGAGGAAAGTGATGGAGATATTCAACAAAAAAGGAAAGGTGAAGCACGGACTGAGACATTCGCTATGAGATAAAAGGGGGGAGAGCATTGCTCGAAATGGGGATGAAAGAGACCCGTGAAGGAGCACGGAAAGTGAAAAATTCGGAGGAGGGGTCTGAGCCACTGTAGAGGTCTGTGATTGAAACCATCTCCTGTGTGTGTGTGTACCAATCGGTCAAGGGGTTTGGTCAGAGTCCGTGCTTGAGAAGCTTTACCAAAAAAGGTCACATAACAGACTCAATGAACATTTCCTCTTGCTACTACAATGCACATTCACTGTTTAACTTCAGTCATGTATGGGCTGAATCTCATCACCTGTGTGTTTTGTACACAGAGAAACACACCTGCCTGTTACAAAAACACGTCATCCGTCAGCGCTTTTCTTTTTTTAAAACATTTTGTACGGGCTCTCTGGTTTTCACAGCACAGCCGATTTCCCCGAGAAAATCACCGTCTCCTATGGGTGTTTACCTTACGTCGACTGTGTGTTTGTAAGACATTTTAACTTAATGAATTCATGTCTGTAAATGCCAAGTCTCCTCTCTCCCTGTCTTTACAAGGTCCAATATCTGAGCTTGCTCCTAGTATGCAGCACAAGCCAGACACAACATTGAGCAAGTAATAGTTATGTAAAAATAAATAGATTATAGGGATATGTCTATTTCAAGAGGAATTTATTCTGAAGACCTTTCCCAGACATGGAGAAACAAAAACAGACATTTAAAAAGAAAAAAGAAAAACTCAAATAAACATTCCAGACTTTGGAGGAGCTATAAACGGAGTCCACTTTTACAAGGTGCTTAAAAACCCCTGGCCTGGGCATTGTTTTATAACAAACACGCTAACAAGCAGCACCTCACTGACACCAGCAATTTTAGCCAAAGGTGTCACTGGCCTGTTCTAGCATGTGAGTGAGAGCCAAGATCTGGACATAGAGGAAAATAAGCGAAAATAAAGACAGGCTGCAAATGTTCACAACTGGAACTAAAGAGAAACCCAGATATTAGAGTGCTAGTGCAAGTGTATAGATGGAAAGGTGTCAGCTGATGTGAAAAGAATAAGTACTGACAGCAGGTGATCTGGTGCAGGTGACGCTTGGAGATCTGAATGTGCCATTCAGAGTGTAAACACTGAAAAGAGTTGACATGTTAGCTGAAAAGAGAGATGAAAGCAGTGGACATGTAAGTGTAAGAGTAAAAGCTGAATAAAGGTGAGGGCTATAACTGAAAGCTCTTAAGACGTAAAGGAAATTAAAGGCCGGTTGATGTAAAAAGTCAATAATGTCAGTGTTAAATCTCTATGAAGAGGGAAAGTTAAACGTACAGTCAGTTAAATGTGCTCACAAAACATACATTGATTAGTGTGTAAAATTACATGTTCCAAAGAATTAAGCATTCTCATAAAATTAGAAATAATCCATTAAATATTGATAGGAGTGGGCACTGGTTTGTGGAAGATGTCAAGTTCATTTGTGTATAAATTCAGTTGACTGCAATCTGCAATCTACTGACATCTAGTGCCTAGGGGTGAGATTTTATACTCTGCATCTTTAAAGGCCTTGGAAGAGTTGAAGGAGTTTTTTTAATCTTTTGTTGAAATGTGAAGTCCTAAAGGCTGAAAAAGTTTGAGGCAACATTGAAAGGTATTCTTACAGTCATTGTAAGAATAAGGTACATCCTCTTTCGAGGTTCTATATATATATGTATTTAAAAAAAAAGAAAAGAAAAGAAAATTCCCCTCTCGCCCCTGCGGGCAGTCTATCCTTCAAATTTGGGTTCTCTACCAGAGGATTGGGAGCTTGAGATTCCTGCGCAGTAACTTAGCTGTTCCTAGGACTGCACTCTTGTGGACTGTTGTTCCTGGGATCTGCTGGAGCCACCACCTAGCTTGGGAGTTACGGTACCTAGTGCTTCGATTACCACTGGGACCACTATTACCTTCACCCTCCACATCATCTCCAGTTTTCTCTGAGCCCTTGGTACTTCTCAAGCTTCTCGTGTTCCTTCTTCCTGATGTTGCTGTCATTCCGTATCGCTACAACTATCACTACGGCCATCTTCTTCTGCTTGTCTGTATACATATATATATATATAT